ACCTGAGCGACACACACACACAAACACTCACAGCCGGGCGGGAGCGCGCGCTTGCGCGCAAAGGGTTCCCCGAGCAACTTTTCTCCTTCGGATCCTCTCTCCCTTCGGATCCGGCGCGCCGGGCTTACTCTTGCTTCTCAAGGGGGAAAGAGGCGCCCCCTCCTCTTTCTTTCTAAACTGGGGGGGCGGCGAGGGGGGGGGTAGGTGGGAAGCTTTGCAATTTGCAACCTCGCCTCCTTCTTCTCGGCGCTTCCTGATGGCGCCCAGCAGCAGCCAAAAGGGGAAGGGGGAAAGCCGGGAGCCAGTCCCGGGAATCTTGGGAGCCGCCAAGCCCCCGGAGGAAAGGAGAAGAAAGAGCGAGAGAAACGAAAGAAAAGAGGCAGAAGCGGCCCAGCCCTCGACGCGGAGGGGGGAGGCGCGAGGAGGAGGAGGAGAGGGAAGACGAGCTCCCTCCTTGTTTGGCTTTTCTGGCCCGACCGGATTGGGAGAGGCGCCACCCGAAGAGGTGGAGGCTTTGGAAAAGCGGGAGGGGAGGAGGCTCTGGATCTGGCCGGAGCGATCGGGGATCTGGCAGGGTGGGCCTGGCGCGCTCCGGGGATCGCAGGTTTCCGATCAAGCGCAGGAAGCCGGCAAGGTCGAAGAGGAAGCCCGGGAGCGGGAATCTCTGGATTCGGAGAGGCGCAGAGCCTTTTTCCCCCTCTCCAACCGGGCGCTCTCCAAGCGGCTTGCGGATTCCCCTCTCGCCTTGCTGCAGTTCCCAACCGGCAGCTAGCTGCTTGCAGTTCGGGAGGGCTGCGAAGCGAGAGGCGGGGACGAGCGGAGAAGCGAGATCGGCCTGATTTCGGGTGTGTGTCTGTGTGTGTGTGTGTTTGTGGGGCTGCGTTTGTGGCTTGCGCCCTTGACGGAGATGCACGGTGTACTTCGGACTAGCAAGAACGAGGGTCGGTCTTTTCCGATCCTCTTGCTTTCTCCCTGCCTCCTTAGCTGGCCTCTCCTTTCGAGGCGCCCTGGGAAAAAAATAAAATTCGGACCCAGCCGAACTTTTCGAGAGTAGCAGAAAAAGATCCCGTTTAACCGCCCAACCAATCAAAGGGAGGGAGGAAGGAATGAGTGGGGTCCTCCAGGGAGTTTTTCTCAAGGATGGAGAGGAAAGTGCGTTGTCAAAACAGTTGGAATTGCTTTTTTTTAGGATCAACCCCCCCCCCCGTTGCCAAAGTTTCAAATATAGAAGTTGAAAAAAACTAAAAAAAAAACAACGCACAGGCACGTGTTAATTATGAACGATTGCTATCGGTTGCGTAGATTAATAATACAAATGCAAAGAATTAACGAACAGGTTTTTTAAGGATTGAAAAAAAAGATTAGTTTGGGGTGTTTTTCAAACTTGGCAACTTTAAGCTAGGACTTCAGTGGTTCTCAACCTGTGGGTCGGGACCCCATTTGGGGTCGGATTGACCTTTTCACGGGGGTCGCCAAGCAAGGCTGTCCGCCATTTTTTTTTGTCCGCCATTTTTCCCCTTTTCTGGCGGGTGCCTTACCTCCCTTGGGCTGGGCCAGCTGGTGGTCGGCCTGCTCCGTCTCTGCCACTTGCCAGCTACGCCTTGGCCAGCGCAGGGGGCGGAACCACGCATGTGCGGGCTACCAGGCAGGGAAAGTCCTCGACTTACGACCGGTTTAGTCCTCGACTTACGACCGGTTGGGGTCACGGCATTAAAAAGGTTGAGAACCACTGAGCTAGGTGGACTTCAACTCCCAGAATTCTCCAGCCAACTGGGAAATTCTGAGTTTGGAATCTCAGTTTAAAGTTGCCAAGTTCGAAAAACAATGTTCTGAAAGGGCCTGTCCATCACAGGTGCTGCATGAATGGCTCTCACGTGCAGGAAAACCGTTTTGAGGTTTACAGTATCTCCAAACGCAAGCAGGCAGGTATGGTAACCTGCTACCAGGCGGAAGTATCCGGCTACCAGATCAGACTCCGACTTTAAAGTATCAATAGGGATGAGAATCAAGTTACATTAGCCTTCTCAACGCCTCTCTGGAGCTCACCCACAGGCCCTTAAAGGGAAAAAGCCCTGAAACACGAACTGCATCAGTTAGATTGTATGTTTAGGACACAAAAATAATGTATGCTTGTCTATTGGGGATGGGTGGGGGATGTATATGCGGTTGTTTTCTTCACCGATAAGCTTTATTTCAGCTTGTGATGATTAATGGCATGATTATGTTTCCGCCAAGATGATCCGGGTGAGGCCACAACATAAGATTTTATCTTCATATGTGATGGCAGGAAGTGATTTCATTCTCAACGATGATCAAGATTTTTTTCACTGTTAAATGGAAGGGGATTTGGAAAATGCTTCATTAACAAGTAAAACTTGTTTTTCATAAGTCTGTCTCTCCCCTAAGCTTATAAATATGCAAGGAAGCTAGCAGCTAACATAGCAAGGCAGTGTCCTGAGGATTTGCAGATTCCCTGTTTGTTCACTCTTAATTGCAGACTTCCAACTAAGCATGGCAGCATATCAGATTAGTAACTTTAGAGCTGTTTAAAGAACCGAGGGAACTTGCAACTACAAATAGAAGGGGACGACAGAGAAGGAGGTGGCTGGATGGAGTCACTGAAGCATTAGGCGTGAGCTTAAATGGACTCCAGATGATGGTAGAGGACAGGAAGGCCTGGAGGAACGTTGTCCATGGGGTCGCGATGGGTCGGACACGACTTCGCAATTAACAAACAACACAAACATGGGCCAGCATTACAGGTAGTTAACTTACAACAAACAGTTCCATTTAGTTACAACAGGACTGAAAAATGTGAGGGCAGTTTTTCAGTTATGACCTTTGCAGCATATCTCCATGATCATGTGATCAAAACTCAGATGTTTAGCAACTGGTTCGTATTGATGATCGTTGCCATGTCCCAAGGTCATGCGATCACTTTTTGTGACCTTCTGACAAGCAACCTCAACGGGGAAGCCAGATTCACTTAACCGGGTTACTAACTTATCAACTAGTGATTCACTTAACAACTGTGGCAAGAAAGGTTGTAAAATGGGAGAAAACTTAACCAATGTCTCACTTAACAACATAAATTTTGGGTCAATTGTGGTCACTGGCAACTACCTGTAATTGAGCTGCTGTACGTGCACAAAGTATAAGAAGACAACAGCTGTTGCTATTGCAGCTTTCTTCCGGCCTTTTGCAACCCTGTGGTGTCTTTTGTTAATCTTTTACGGTACACAAGAGAGAACTTTCAACAAAAGGGTAGTTCTTAAATGTGGTAGACAAGCTTCAACTGGGAGAGGATCAAGGGTCACCTTTACTAAGATGTTCTCACCAGACACAAAATCCTATCCTGGAAAGATTGAGGGCAATAGAAGAAGGGGACGACAGAGAATGAGGTGGCTGGATGGAGTCCCTGAAGCAGTAGGCGTGAGCTTAAATGGACTCCAGAAGATGGTAGAGGACAGGAAGACCTGGAGGAACGTCGTCCATGAGGTCGCGATGGGTCGGACACGACTTCGCAACTAACAACCACCACCAAATAAAACTGGTCATCTCACACATTCCATTAAATTAGGCCTCTCTACAGGGAGTTGATTTATGACTGGTTACACAAAGTTACAACCACCTACCTTGGGGCTACTTATGACTCAGTTTTGACAATTGCCCCCTCCCCCCCGGTGGTCACGTGACCAGATTTCAGGCACTCTGCAACATGGTCACATTTATAATTTCCAGTGTCCTGTAGTCCCATGACTGTACTTCACGAATGCTTTATTGAAAATTGGCACTTCCAGGTTTTGGCAAAATTGCATCCATAGCAAGCCATTGATTTAATGACCAGGGTTCATTTAATAACCAGGATGATTTGCTTAATAATAAATATAATAGTAAAGTTGGAAGGGACCTTGAAGGTCATCTAGTCCAACCCCCTGCTCAGGCAGGAAACCCGATACCATTTCAGACAAATGGCTGTCCAGTCTCTTCTTAAAAACTTCCAGTGTTGGAGCATTCACCGCTTCTGGAGGCAGGTTGTTCCACTGGTTAATTGTTCTAACTGTCAGGAAGTTTCTCCTTAGTTCTAGGTTGCTTCTCTCCTTGATTAGTTTCCACCCGTTGCTTGTCCTGCCTCCAGGCGCTTTGGAAAATAGCTTGACTCCCTCTTCTTTATGGCAGCCCCTGAGACTACTGTATGACTACTGTAAATACAACCCGTGAAGAACAGGCTCCAATTAAGGTCGTAAGTCAAAGACTACGGTGTACATGGCCCAGATGAATCATGCCATCCAGTCACATCATCCCTTAGCTGTGATTAATCAAGTATTTACCATTACAAGGCCAGTTATAATCGCTCAGGCTTTAGTGTACAAGCGACGACCCAATTTTGAACTCAGTCCTCTGTCTTACTACTGGTTTTACGTCCACCTGAATAAATACTTCACAGGTACAATGGAGCACAATCCTACAAAAAAAATAAATGACACATCAGCAAAACGTTTATTCACAAGACTAGTTTAATCAGTCACCCTTAAGAGCTGGGCTCCTTTATTACCAAAAATAAGAATTAAAAGGGTCTCAAAGGGAGGGAGGGAGGGAGAGAGAGAGAGAGAGAGAGAGAGAACAAGCCACAGCTAAAACATGACTAGCTTTCACTACTAGTTTACCCGCCAGAAAATACCAGCACGGATGGAAGTAATGTTAACATGCAGACAAAGTGGAAAGCCATGAGGAATACGCAGGGAAGGGGGGGGGAAAAAATAAAAAATAAAAGTGGATTTTAAAATGGTATGAGAGAGTGTACAAAAAGGAAGCTTGTTTTCTTAGTTTCTCCCATTCCAGGAAGTCGCCCCATTTAAAACAAAAACACCATTTTTTGAATGCCACAAATTCGTTAAAAGCAACCCCCTACCTCAGCTCCCCTCCCCCTTTTTTCTTTTGTGATTTCCTGTCAAGAGCAGTGGGGAAGATGAGGTGCTGAGTGGAGAACACAGTGGAGCGATGCAACATGAGGAATCCCTCCCCAAAACTTGCTGGTAGGCAGGCAGGCAGTGAACATCCGTCTGAAAAATCAAAGTCTCTTGTAAAAGCATCATCAACAGGGAGGGTGGCTCCTTCCGTCTTGGTGCGGGTCGAGCGATGAGACTTCCATCCCAAGGGCTCTCGCTCTCCCCCCGATGAGCAATGGAGGTTTGCTGTGACCGGCCTCGTTTCCGCTACACGTTAGTTAAGAGTGACAGATGCTCTTCTGTCCCTGCCACAGGACTGGGGTGGGTTTGTATTCCAGACAGTCAGTCAGTCACTTCTTTCTCCATCAGGTGAAATTAAATGTGAAGTTTCAGGAAAGTGGCAGAGGTCAGGAATTAAAACCAAGGTCAACGTGGAGAGGCAAGCCCCCTTTTATCGGGTCTGTTCAACTGAAGAAAAAAAAGAGAGAGAGAGAGAGAGAAAGAGGCGTCAGGCAGAACAGGGCAAGGGACTGGTTCCCGACTAAATGAAAAAGGCCCATCATTATAGCAAAGCAAATCCAACTCCCACTTTTCCTGCGCTCGCTCATTTCGCAATGTCTCCCCCGGAAGATATCTCAACTTCCTTACGTTCGCTCAAAACCAAATGCCATTCTGTTCCCCCCGTTTATAAAGTGGATAAAAGCCATAAAAATGTTTCTCTGGAAGTAATAACTTGGTTTATTTCATTTATTTATTAAATGTACCGTATTTTTCCGCTCTGTAAGACACATCTGACCATAAGACGCACATACCGGTAACTATACTATTTCTCTTTCCCTCTTTCTCTCCCTCTATTTCTCTCTCCCTCTCAAAGATCCTTAAAATCCTTAAAGGTTATGCTTGGGCGGAAGACTTTTTCTTTTACAGATGGGGCGGGTGGGCCTGACATTTGCGCGCAGGCAGGACCCCGCCCGCCGAGCCACCGCTTCCCCATCGCCCTCCACGCCAGCCGTCTCCGCCTCCAGACCTCCCAGCTGACGGGCGCAGGAGGTAGGCGCCGCCGCGGCCTCCCAACCGCTTGCTTCTTCGGCTGGAGCGATTGCAAGGGCTTGCATGGTCCCCAAGGGCGGCTGACGCGCTCCCCGCCGCCGGCGACCATGCAAGCCCTTGCAGTTGCTCCAGCCGAAGAAGCAAGCGGCTGGGAGGCCGCGGCGGCACCTACCTCCTGCGCCCGTCAGCTGGCGACCCCCGGACCTGCGCCCGTCAGCTGGAATGTCAGGCAACGCTTTGGCCGGTGCGGAGGGCGAAGGGGAGGCCGCTGCAGCGCCGAACTCCTGTGCCCGTCAGCTGGCGACCCCCGGACCTGCGCCCGTCAGCTGGGAGGTCTGGAGACGGAGCCGGCTGGCGTGGAGGGCGATGGGGAAGCGGTGGCTCGGCGGGCGGGGTCCTGCCTGCGCGCGAATGTCAGGCCCACCCGCCCCATCTGTAAAAGAAAACGTCTTCCGCCCAAGCATAACGCCAGCAGTTCTGTGCCACAGAGGCTTGAGACACAGAGGCGCGGGAGGCGGCATTCGCTCCATAAGACGCACAGACATTTTCCCCCATCTTTTGGGGGGGGGAAAGTGCGTCTTATAGAGCGAAAAATACTGTATATATCACCCATCTATCAATCAACTCTTGAGAGGCATAATATAAAACAATTAAAATGATAAATATTAAGATTAAAATTAACAAAAAAATCGGCTAAAGAAGAACCAACATGCAACAGGGCGTCTTCTTTCATCCACCAACCACAGTATTAAATTACTAGAATGTAAGTAAGCCTTACAATTAAACCAAGGTTTGAAGAGACTACGTTACGAGTTTGTTTAGGGACCATTCAAAGTTACAACAGCCCCGAAAAAAGTGACTTATGATTATTTTTCACACTTATGACTGTTGAAGCATCCCCATGGTCACAGACTCAAAATTCAGACACTGGGCAACTGGCTCATATTTCTGACGGTTGCCGTGTGTCAGGGTCACGTGATCATCTTTTGCGACCTTCTGACAAGCAAAGTCAATGGGGAAGCCAGATTCACTTAACAACCGTGTTAATAACTGCAACGATTCACTTCACTGTGGACAAGAAAGGTTGTAAAACGAGGCAGAATTCACTTAACTGTCTCACTTAGCAACATAAATGTTGCCCTCAATTGTGGTCATAAGTCAAGGACTATCTGTAAACTGAAGGTGGCTCTTCTATATAGACAAAAGTGGGAATGTTTGTATTGTGTTTATTAACGTCAACTTTCCATTTTCATCTGTAAAATATAAAGTTCCACTCTGCAAAATGTTTAGCAGGCAATACTATTATGCGTCAGCCGTGGGTTTCGCCCCACATCCTCCTTTTGGCATGCTTATTTTTGTGAGGATGGGGTGGGCTGAGCTAAAGCACAATAAGACACACTCACTGTAGGAGGAGATATCAATCTCATCAGGCAGTTCACTGATGTTCACTTCGAAGCGGTCCTGCACTTCATTTAGGATCTTAGCATCATTCTCATCTGACACGAAAGTGATCGCCAGGCCCTTTGTGCCAAAGCGACCAGCACGAGCCACCTGGAATCCAGAAATGGGAAGATGGGTCTGGATTATTGCACAGGAACCCCCAAATAGGATTTCAAACCCGCAAAGGACAGCAGAGGACTAAAAACAAAGTGGTTTCAACCAAGGGCACTTACTCAGGGCTTGAAGAGACATCAGAAAAAGTCAGAGACTCTAGTCTGAGCAATTCATCATTGCAACTACACCTTGGACTTTTTGTCTTCATCCCAATTTGGGCACCCAGTCCTGGGAAATTGGGAGGTTGCGTTTTTGGATAGTTCGGCTTACCCGGTGCAAATAGGTGTCTGAATCCTCTGGCATATCGTAGTTGAAAGCAATGTTGACCCGCTCAATATCCATGCCACGACCAAACAGATTGGTGGCTACCAAGATACGACGCTGGAAATCCTTGAACTGCTGGTACCGTGACAATCTGCGAGACAGCAAATGCATGGTAATGTTCTTCACCATGAAACTTCAGCCACAGAACAGAGACAGAGGACGTCTGTCGTTTATTTTATTTTTTAATTTTTATTTTATCAAATTATTTTGAACGCTACGTTGGTCTTTGGGAGACATTCCAAAGCCTAAGCCAGTGATGGCGAACCTTTTAGAGACCGAGTGCCCAAAGTGCAACCCAAAACTCACTTATGCAGCATCGAGTGCCGCATGGGTGTGGCCCATTGGGTGGGCGTGGCTGCGGTGGTAACGGCAGACTGGGTGGGACTAAAAAGTTCAATCAATCAATTCCAACTTTGCAAGATCTTTTTTTTTCCTGCGAGAAGTTGAAATTGACTGATTGAACCTTTTTTTTTTTTTTTTTTTTGCATATGGCGGCGGAGGCCTAAAGCGAAAAGGTTTTATAAAACCCAGCTGAAGGCCCAGGACTGGGGCGACGGCGTGCGTGCCCATAGAGAGGGCTGAGTGCCGCCTCTGGCACCCGTGCCATAGGCTCGCCACCACTGGCCTAAGCTGAAAAAGTAGGTGGAACCAGGAGCCCAATTTGAGAATCACCAGATCTTTTATAAGGCGAAATGCTATCTATAACCTCCACAAGAAACCTATTGGTTTCCTAAGCTTCTCCCAACTAAAAAATTAAAATAGGACTTTTTTGGCCCATCTATTCAATAGCAATAGCATTTAAGACTTCTATACTGCTTCACAGCCCTCTCTAAGCGGTTTATAGAGTCAGCATATTGCCCCCTCCAACAATCTGGGTCCTCATTTTACCGACCTCGGAAGGATGGAAGGCTGAGTCAACCGTGAGACTCGAACTGCTGGCAGATGGCAGTCAGCAGAAGTAGTCTGCAGTACTGCATTCTAACCACTGCGCCATCATGGTGACATTGGTGATCCCCCATCCACAGGTTACACTTTTTAAACCCTTGCTTCATAAGATATTCAACTTCCATTACTGGGATCTAACCCACAGGAGACTTTTCTTCTTTCTACACACATGCAAAATGCAGGGTGTGTAAAAGTCATTAATTTGAGAATGGAATATCTCCTCT